TCTCTTCTCTTCTCTTCTCTTCTCTTCTCTTCTCTTCTCTTCTCTTCTCTTCTCTTCTCTTCTCTTCTCTTCTCTTCTCTTCTCTTCTCTCTCCTCTCTTACTTACCTTCCCCCTCTTCCTCCCTCCCTCCCTCCTATTTTTCTATTCCTATCTCTGTCTGTTCTCTCCCCCCCCCCCCCCCCACACACACACCCCTACCATCTGGAGATGAATAACACATCGCGACCCTCACCTTCAGTACTTTATTCAGCATATTGTTTCTTGGACAAAAACATTTTCTTATAGAACCGCGCCACAATTATGTCTGACGTAGGCATTGAATGAGTTTCTCTGATTTAAGTTTCTATGCATTTACAGTTGGACATTTTTAAGGAGTGTAGGTGACTTGTTTTGCTGGGAGTTTCTTTGTGTCTGTCTCTGCAGTGCATTGTATCAAGAGACCCAGTATGCCTGTTTGTCCTGTGATGGGTGAGGAATAGGAATTTTAGTCATGTGGTTTAGGTGGCACCTGTGAATTTCCTCAGAAAAGCTTCACTTTCTCTTTGAAATCAGTGAAGAGCCTGTGGTGAGGTCCTTGAAGGCGGTGCACTTAAGCCTTTCCTCCTCCAACTTCTACCTGATGATTTCCGATTCTTCTGATTCTGGCTTGAATTGATTTTTAACATAATGGTTACAAAATGGTGATACTTATTTTCAAATTGATGATTACTTTAAATCTTACTGGTATCACCCTGACAATCCTACATAAGATTAAAAATTTGTGTTGAACTGGGCATGGTGGTTCACACCTATAGAGAAGGCTGAGATCTGAGGATCAAGGTTTGAAGTCAGCCCTGTCAGACTCTTACCTCCAATTAACCACCAGAAAGCTGGACGTGGAAGTGTAGCTCAAGTGTTAGAGTACTAGCCTTGATTAAAAAAGCCAAGCAAGAGTGTAAGGTTCTGAGTTCAAGCCCCTGAACAGCATACACAGCCAGCCAGCCACACACACACACACACACACACAAATAAAAATTGAGTAGGTTTAATATGCTGTTATGCTGAAAATGTATTTATTGAACTTGGAGTTGCAAATCCGTCCAAATGGAAAATCCTACTGTTCTTCCCACCAGAATGTTGGTGGTAGCTTTGCAGTTGCATATTCAGGCTATGGAAGCTGGCCTGGCAATCCAGTTGGTTGTGTCTGGTTAGTGACCACAATGTCTCTGCCAACTAAAATATCCCTGTGACGCATGGTGTTGTCTTATGGGCAGATTTTTTTTTCCTGCTGTTTTTTATTCAAAAGTCAAAAAGAACTCAGTCAACAAAAGCAGATTGGCTCAACTTTAAGCCAGACATAGAAGCAAGAGACAACCTGGGGCTTGGAGCCACTAGCCCTATGTGTCCTGCCTATCTAACCCAGTGTCCCCAGATGGCTCTGATTCCTACACCTATGCTTCCCCTTGTGCTCCCCCAGCTAAGATTTATGCCAAGGAGAGATTGGGCATGAATTAGGATACAAATGTCTCTTGCAAAGAGAACACAGTGCTCCTATGATACTTAGTGGGATTTAAGTCTTGAGCTACAGAAAGTTAACCCTGAGCAGATAAAGTGGAGACTTTCATAGGGGAGATGACTAGGGAGAATCTTCACCTTCCTGGCCTCTGCATACCTGGATGACCTGCCTTTTGGAGTTGCTATCCTCCAGGGATGCTCGGCCTACACCAGGAGAGAGATACTGACAGAGACTAATCAGTAGGTTGGATGGAATGAATGGTCTCTCCCACTCCATCACCAGTTTGGCAGGGTCCGTGTTCACCTTTGTTTTCAGCAGAAGGTTGTGCTGTCTTTTTGTTTTGATTGTTCGGCAGTGTTGGCATGGTGCCCAGGGCTTGGGTTAGCATGCGAGGCCAGGGCTGTACCACTGAACCACACCCCCCAGCCCACTTTGTGATTTTATTTCAGGGCCAAATATGAAAGAGACCAAGGAGCTTTCATTCCAGCCCCCTCGTTCTGTATCTACTCATGTTGATGTTACTCAGCTTGTATGAGTCTATTATCTACTCTATTACACCAGTTGTGGTTTGTGTGAGGTCAATGTTAGCTAAATCACTTCAAATTCTTGTTATTCACTAGCTACACTCAAGCATACCTAGAAAGCTTTCTTTTCCTTCTTTTTTGGCAGTACTGAATTTTGAACTCAGAGCCTCACACTTGATCACTTTTCTTGTTTATGGTTGGTGCTCTACCACTTGAACCATGCCTTTAGCCTTGCTTTAGCTAATCATTTCAGAGGTGGAGTCTTGAGGATTTTTCTTGTCTAGGCTGGCTTCAAACTGCACTCCTCTGAATATGGGTTTCCTGAGTAGCTAGGATTATAGGTGTGAGTCACCAAATGTATGTCTGAAAGCATGTTTTTCCTTCGTTGCCTGGTTATCAGAATCCCTGACATAGTGAGAGAAACGCTGTGTTGGTTAGTCACATTCTTTTTGCCATGATAGATTCAGAGCTAGCCCCTGGCTCAGCATACTTCAGGTTCCCAGATTGTACCTTTTTCCCCTTTTATGCCCTCGGAGTTGCATGTATGTTTTAAATGGTGCTGTGGACAAGACCGAAAAAAGAAGCTAGGGAAGGGGATCTAGAATTGAGTTATTTGGCCACCAGACTTGTAAGACGTTTGGAGGAGATTTAAGTAAGCATTTTCAACTGTGAGGACATTATTACACTGAACAAAATGACCTTCTTCTCTT